GTTTATCATGTCATAAAGTACAAAAAAAGATAATAGTCCAGATAGTTTTGCAATAATAAAATGAATATAATAGTGCAGATCTTACAATAGCTGCAGTAATGAGTGAATAAAATAAACAACATTTTTTTTTTAAAATTCTAAATATATGAGTGTCAAATAGCTTAAATAAACAAAAATAGCTTTATTATATAACACACATATAAAACAAATGATCAAAATGACCCACTGCAGCTTACAGAGTTCATATGTGAGTACATGCGAAACTTCCAGCCACTACACACACTTATATAGATAAATTCTGGTCTTCCTCCACGGGCGTTTAGAAGCTCGCTTCCCTGAAGTTGGTAAAGTGCAGTCTCTGGAAGGCAGTAAATGCTTCACAAGCTCCGCCTACTACGTGTACAGTCTACGTGTTTCTCCAATATGGTCCAGCTTCCTCAGGATGTAAAGTGCTATCTCCTTCATCTTGGAAACAGGTTTATATAGTAGACATTTCCCTTGGTGGAGTTTCAAAGTACTTATTGCAGTCCTTATTCATTAACAAACATTTGCTGATTGGTCTCCTATGCAAACAGTCTATTTGCATACTTCATTGAATGCATTTAGTCATATTTCTCAGCTCATTATTTTGTGACAATAGTTAAAGATAAAATAATATTTAAATGCAGAGATATAAAATACAGCATATATAATAAATCACAATGGCACAGTTCTTCAAATAAACATAATGTTATAAAAAAGTTATAAATACTATAGAAGGGGGCGAAATTTATATACTCTGGAGGAGAGGCGAAGGTCTCTGCTATCGCCAATGACTTGATGGACCCAGCTTACTTTATCTCATATTACCGCTGGATTGGAGAGATTTAGCTCTATGACCAATTTTAAAATCAACTAAATGAGACATACTGGAACTAAGCACACAACAATTATTTTGGTTTTTGATGGGCCCCACGAGCATTAAATATTTGGGAGTACACATAACATCCTCTCTATCTGGACTGTTCCAAACTAATCATATCCCCTTGATAGATAAATTAGAGGGAACTTAAGAAAATGGAACTTGCCTTGTTTCTCACTTAGAGTTAATATTATCAAAATTATGGTATTGCCTAGACTACAGTATGTGAGATAAGGTGTCACAAGAAATAAGTATTAGAAAGGAAGGGGCTGAGAAAGCCAAAACTTAAAATATATAATTAGAAACTTAATTATATGCATGTGATAGTACATGTGATAGTACTCCTCTTTAATAAAATTTGCATATTTATAAATAGAATCTAGTGAATACATTTTTCTTTATTATTATCTCTAACACTAGAAGTGTGTATTAACCCCTTAAGGACGTCCTTTTTAGGGTAGCTCTAAACGCCGGCACTGTCCTTATTACTTACCGGATCGGCACCGTTCCACCGTCGGCAATCGTCGTTGCTCCCAGTCTGGGGGGACTGCCTGACAGCCCATACAGTCCCCCCTCGGCAAAATTTACGTCATCAATTACGTTTTCTGGAACTCACCAATGAGAAATTGCCACATTGCACCAACAGGAAGATCTCTCTCCATATTGAAATGCTGTGTACTGACCGGTTCCCCTCTGATGAGCCAGGTCGGGCGAAACGCGTGCGTCAGGGGTTCCTAGCGTGCTGTTCTTATGATCTAGCACATGGACCTGCTACCGTGCTATTTCGTTTAATAGTTTATTTATTTACTTACTTTATTTTTTGTCAACTATACCAGCGTTCACTAGCTCAGTGGGACCAGCGGCAGGTTCCCTTAGCACTTAGGAAGTGTTAGTTTACTCTGCAGCAACTATTGTCTAGATGCCGTTTTCATTTATTACTGAGATGCTGAGACTTACTGAATAATACTGCATATCGAGGAGTAATACTCATAGACACTTCATGCTGATTTAGTTCCTATAGATCTATTTTAGACTATTGGACTTATACGTGCTAACCCTCCTACCAATCTTTAGACCGGCTAGTTCTACTACATATCACAACCTTGTTAAAGTTTCTACTCAGCAGCTACTAATATATAAGGAAGATTTATTCCACTGGTTCAGCATTATACATGGCAAGTCACCTGTATACTTCTCGCCAGTTTTGAGTAATCTGACATTTACTTTCTAAGTGTCAGCTCATTCTGCAGTAATTACTGTCAAGATGCATCGTTTATCTGTCAATTATTGAGATCCTCCTATAAACTCTGCATATCAAAGGGGTGAATACTAAGGGACACCTATGCTCTGTGATTAACAGACAGCCTTTACCAGAAGGATTTGTACGTTACTTAGATTCTGATTTAAGATAATCTTCCTATTAAACACTAAAACTGTTTTGGTTTTACTACCAAGCCCTATCTTACTATCACCTCCATTCAGTAGCTTTAAAATATCTAATTACTAGCATTGGCCGTCATTGACATTGATTTTATTGCTAGGACTCCACACTTGCCAATCTACCTGTGTATTCCCTACCAGTCCTGCTCAAATTGGCACCTAATTTAAAGTGGCCCCGGAACCTATAAGATTTTTTCTGATCCAGATATATGCAATGAATGGCAGACTAGACAGTTCTCTAATGTAAAGTAGGGGTCTGGTATAATAACAGACGATACCCTAGCTTACACTTTGTACAAAAAGCACTTACAATCTGCACTAACAAATTTGAGATCAGAGTGATTGCTGGTTTTTGATTTAGTACCACAGTATGGTTTTTAATAAGGTATTGACTTTTTAGTACCTACTGTCTCTTCACTGTCTGTACACAAGTACAATTTGTTGTTATAAGAGTTTACAATTTCATAAAATGTATTTATTTTTCGATTTTATTAACCTATCATTCTGTCTGGCAGCTGTTAGTCTTTTATCTCTGACATTTTGACAGTCCGTTGCGAATTTTCAATTTCTATTTCAGGCTGTCTAGGTACAGCACCTTTTGCTTTGTTATATTCTCCTTGGGGTTACCCCCCGCTTCTCTAGTGTACCTAGTATTGGACTCTACCTCTGCTCTTAATGCCAGAGAATAGTACCCAAGGCGGGGCTAAAGAGGTCCCAAAAATTCCCCCCACTAAATGAGAGGGAACTCGTGTGACAGTGAGAAATGATAGGGAGTCGTCCTGGTAACCAGACCAAGAAACGACCTCCTCCAACACCCCACCATTAACATATACACACAAGAATGTGGTAGGATTGTGTTTCAGGCCCCGCACCACTATTGTATCAGAATAAGATAAAGCAACGCCGCCCACCCCACACATATGATAAACTCAGTTGCTACATAGCAATACATTACGTGCTAATCTCAATCAAAATACTAGATTCTTTTCCATGTGCCCTTTGCCCCCAATTCGTCCTCCCCTCCTAACCCCAGAGACAGAGCACAATTAAAAGTGGCCAAGATAAACAAACCAAAAGAAAGAAAGACAAAAAAAAAAAAAAACTAGACAATAATGGGGGGAACACCTAGTACTCTGCCGGGGTCCATTATCCCTCTGGATATAACAACACATTCCCCATATTGCATTCCCATACCTCATGCAGTTACTTTCACCCACCCCCCGCACCAGTGTGCTTGAGAGAGGGCAAGTCAGTGAGATCCTCCGATGGAGACATGAAACCCTACCGTACATCTATACATGCCCCACATTACATTCCCTTCCCCCCTCTGATCTTCATCTACTGCCCCACCCACCCCCGCACCTCTGTCCCCATAAAGATATCTGTCACACTGTCTGATAACCTGAGTTGTAGATATGATAATAAATCAAGATTCTCCGTCTATGGTCATATTTATGAAACCATGAGGGAGTGGACTGTAGAAAATATTAATGTAAATAACTCTGATGATCCAGGAGGTCACGTATACCCATTATAAAACATGGCAATGTGTACTTAATACCAGGACCATAAGCCCATCAGTGAGCTGCATAAAATAGAACATAATAAAGATGAAATTAAATAATAATCATAAATAAAACATTAATAATATATAGCCAAAGAGCAGGAGATTTGAAGTAGTCCCATGAAGAGGTCCGTTAGTTGAGCCAGTACGTAGCGTGGGACCAGATCTTGGCTCAGCACAGTTAGCCTGTATATCCCAAAAATCCAACCCAAATAAAATTACACAACTAGGATACCACCCCACCTTAGGCCCCAGATGTCCCACTTGAACACTTGAAGCAAGTTACATAGACCCATAAGACACTGGGCGCCAAATAACTAGGCTTCTCGTATATCCCATAATTTGAATTGAATGGATAAGTCCCATATACCCGCCACTCAACCGAAGTTAAAGCACTGCCCCAAACCTGCTTAGTGGAACGTCCCCTCTTACCAAAAAGAAGCCATCAAATGCTATAGAAAGGCTCAGTCCCAGATTAAAAGAAACAGAAGGACCATGGGTTTGGAAGGCAGTAGAGCATGCCTCAGCTCGATCTCATCAAAGAAAACTAAGCCTTCCAAACCGGTTGGAGAAGACCGTAGGTCAGAGCTCATTCATCTGGAGCGTCAGGGTCTGGGCTTCATCAGGGCGGAGGGCCCGGTGGGGATCTACTTCCGCATCATCGGGGGGGCAGTGTCATCTCCTCCAGAAATTGAGGCACCTCCTCAGGCCATCGAATAGATGCCCATCCATGCTAATGTCATGCTAATAGTGCAAAGGGGAAACCCCACTTATAGCTGATATTTTGCTCCCGCAGGGCTGTTGTCACAGGTCGTAGTGCACGCCTTCCTTCCAGTGTGATGGGCGAAAGGTCATCATACAGCGACACTTGGGTCCCACGGTACTCCCAGGAGGCTCTATCTCGGGCCTTTCTCATAATGGCGTCTTTAACTGGGAACGAGTGCATGCAACAGATCAGGTCCCGTGGGATGTTATCAGAGGACCGTGGTCTCGTGGCTCTATGGGCCCTCTCAAATTCAAAACGTAATGGTGCATTATCACCCAGTATTACCCGGAACAGAGCTGTGAGCACCTCCTCTGCATTTTCCTCTCCATCTAGTTCAGGTACCCCTCGGACCCGAATAACACTACCCCTTGCTGCGCCACCGCCAGATCAAATAAAATGACTTTTGTGGCCTGGAACTCAGTCGAGCGCTCCAGTGCCACGATGTGACCTTCATGCGTGACTACCTCATTCCGAAGCCCGGACATTTTGGCTCGCACAGCATCCTGGATAGTGGAGGTAAGTGTTTGGTGATCGACCTTTGTGGCCATAGATGCTGCCATGTGTCGTAGATCCTCTCCAATCCATTCTAGGGTGGAATACTCCAATCCCGCTGGGGAGGCAGTTGAGTCAGGCACCATCTTAGGACTCCCGCTTCCCGTGTTAGACGGAGCGCTGAGGAAGCCATCCATAGGACCGGGCAGGGGACAAAGCTGGGGGAAAGAGGATAATGAATATACTAGCCCAGAATATATAGGGCAAATGTTTAAAAAATTTTACTCAAAATTATATAATATCTCAGATCAGTTAAAAGATATGGAACAAATGAGAAAATATCTATTAGACTCTAAATTAAATTGATGAGCAGTCCAATCGCTTGGAGGCCCCTATTGCACATAAAGAGATGATGAGTTCAATTAGAGCTCAGAAGCCTAATAAGGCATAGGGTCCCGAAAGATTCCCAGCGGAATTCTACAAAAAAAATTTGCATACCTGATGGATATATTTAATGAGGTCAGAGATTCTGGATCTTTTCCAACTGATGTGCTTCAAGTATTTATTCTACCTATTTTAAAGACAGGCAAAGAATCTCCTTGATTAATAGAGATACAACGATATACTCTGCTATTCTTGCTGCACGTTTAAAAAATGTATGCCCAATTCTTATACAAAAAGACTAGGTAGGCTTTGTTAAAGAACGACAATCTAATGATAATACAAGGAAAATAATTAGTCCACTGGATTATGTAAGCTCTAAAAAAAATTAGAACAATGGACAAGTAGCATGTGTGGAGTGAGTGAGTTAACCCATTGTCTAAATATGGTAGAATTACATTACATAATTATGATGTGATGGTATACAAGCAAAATTAGTAAAATTCAATGCAGGGATAAATCCACTGTGTTGGTGATGCAATGAAACTGTAGGAACCTTTAGTCATATATGGTGGAGCTGTAAAAAAAAATAAAACAGGCCTGGGCAGATATCTTTGGTATCTTATCTACTCTTACAAATACTATTATTCCATCAACGATTGAAAGAGCTTTATTTAATTTGAATCTAGATATCCTACCGAATAAACATAAAGCTATGGCTATACAAGGCTTTTTGGCTTTAAAAATTATAATAGCTAGGAAATGGCTTCAATCCGAGGATATAAAAGTCAATATGGTAATTAATCAAATTTGATATCAGGTTCAGATGGAAAAAGGTTACCATTCTGCTTACCATCAATATGAAAAGTTTAAAACGTTTTGGCACTTGTGGTTAATAAAATGTCCTATCTAATCCTATCTAATTATAACCTTCCTGTCTACTCATAGTCTAAAGTAATGGACAGCTTTTTAGGAAGATCTGTTTTCCCATTGCGCACAATGTCTTGTATTTTTTGTCTAGTTAGCATAGGTATGTCTTGTGTTCTTAAGTGTATTGACATGTCAAATATCTATTCACAATGACAATGTTTATGATGGTATGAATATTGACTTAATATTTGGTCTTTTAAAATGATATATAGAAAATTGTTTGACATATTGAATAACTATGTCTGTATGATTATTTGTCAAAATAAATAAAAAGTATTAAATATAAAAAATAAAAATAACAACAACAAAAAAAAGACAAAATAGAAGAAACTGCCATTGAAACAATCAAACAAATGAGAAAGAAGGCTAAAGCAAAACATTCTGTGGTCACTCAAGTTATGCTCTAGTAAAAGCATATAAAAACATCCATACAGTACAACATGCAAATCTACAGGTTTTCTTTAAAGGAACACTATAGGGTCAAGAACACAAACATGTATTCCTGACATTATTGTATTAAAACCACCATCTAGCCCCCCTGGTCCACCCTGGTCCCCTTTAATATAGTATAATCTTACCTTTATTCCAGTCTGCTGTTGCTGGCTCTGCCCTTGATCTGCCTGCTTGGCTGACATCATCAGAAAAGTGGATAAAAGCCAATCACATGGAGACACTGAACTTTCATCATAGAAATGCATTGATTCAATAGATCTATAATGAGGAGATTCTGATTGGCCGGGGCTGTGTTTGGGTTGTGCTGGCTGCCACTGATCTGCCTCCTTGACAGTCTCAGCCAATCCTATGGGAAAAATGGCTAATCAGCAACTCCTCATTATAGATATATTGAATCAATGCATCTCTATGAGGAACGTTCAATGTCTCCATGCAGAGGGTGGAGACACTGAATGGCCATACTACACACTGTACAGCACTGCCCCAGGCAGCACCTCTAGTAGCCATCTGAGGAGGAGCCAGTGGAGGTATCCATAGGCTGTAATGTAAACACTGCATTTTCTCTGAAAAGACAGCGTTTACTGCAAAAAGAATGAAGGAAATGATTCTACTCACCAGAACAAATTCAATAAGCTGTAGTTGTTCTGGTGAAGATAGTGTCCCTTTAATTAAAATGTAATTATTTTATTTTTTGTTCCTTTTCCCACATGAAAATCACTCTATATTTAGTTTGCCAATACAGCTCTCTATGCTGTCATCTGAGTGACAGACAGGAACAGGAGAACAGCGTGAATAAAAACAAACAAAAGTAATTTTTAAATCATGAAAGAATGATTTGAGATGATTATTAAATGACAAAAAGAAAGAACAAAAAAACAGGATACATTCTATAAAACCTGTGTGGAACTAATAAATGTGGAATTGCAGTGAATTGTAAATCAAAATACCGATATTTTGCAGTAAGGTTTTCCATTTACTTAAAGGAGCACTATGGTGCCAGGAAAACAAACTCGTTTTCCTGGCACTAAAGGGTTACTAGGCCCCCCCTCCGCTGGGCTCCTTCAGTGTTGGTGACCTCTCCTCCCCCTTCTGATGTCAGTTCTGAATGCGCATGCACGGCCAGAGCCGCATGCGCATTCAAACCACCCATAGGATAGCATTGCTCAATACTTTCCTATGGACATCAGCGTCAACTCAGTGTGATTTTCACACTGAGAATCGTGGAAGCGCCTCTAGTGGCTGTCAGGGAGAAGCCACTAGAGGCTGGATTAACCCTCAACGAAAACATAGCAGTGCCCTCTAGTGGCTGTCTAGTGAGAGTTTTTTTTTTTTTCAATTGACAGTTTTTTATTTTGTCATAAGTCAAAAAGAAACATGGGGATACAGAATGAGGAAAAAAGGGGGGGGAGTACATTGCAGGCTGACTACACAGACAGTAGCTATGTGTAATCATATACATATATGTGTACATCATGGATAAATATCTACATACATGCGCATCATGGTTTTCATTGGTTCCAGAGATTCATTGCTATTTTACAGAAATTTCCCTTTTACAAATACATGGTGTGTTGATGATCAGTTCCCTTTAGGCGGTTTTGGTCATATTTAGGTCATCTGGGTGTGTGCAGTAGTCATATTTATTTCCTGAGATTCCTTTGTGTGTTATTTGGTAGTGTTAACTATGTAAGTTCCAGACTGTTTTTTGAGTGTTTGTTTGGGGAGCTTCGGGTCCACCCATCCCTCTCGCTCTGTCCTCTTCCCATGTGTAGGTCCCTACTTCAGTGTACATGGGGTGGGGGGGTGCTTAGGCAGGTGTCTGGCTCTGTGGTCTGCCTTTGTCGAGCATTGCAGTTCTCTCCCGCCGCTAGGCGTGTTGGTGATTCGTAGTTTGACTGCCTCTGGGTGTCTTATCTTGGCTTAGATATTTCTTTTTTTGCTTGTGTGCTGCGTCTTTGCCTGTTGGCGCTCTGCGTGGCGCCTCTTAATCTATGATTCAAGGTTCGTTAGTCTCGCTAGAGTGGTTGTGGTTGGGTGTTGTGGTGCGTGGACTTGTAATATGTTTTACCCACAGGTTGTGTGCCTCCTGTACCCCTTTTCGTGTTCCAAATTGTGTGTTGGCCATTTTTTCGTATGCCCACTTTTGGTCTACCTGCTTTACAAGATCCTCTATAGGTGGGGTCATTGTTTTTTTCCAATGTCTGGATATCACTAGGTTGGCTGAAATTAATGTGTGATATATTATCAGCTTGACTTGTTTTGGTATTTTTTCTGGTAAGATGAACAAGAGACACACCTGTGGTTCATCTACTCTTGGGGCTGATAGTATCTTCTGCAGTATATTTGCTACCTCTTCCCAAAATGGTCTGAGTATGGTGCATGTCCACCAGACGTGTATCATTGTACCCACTTCCCTCCCACACCTCCAGCAAATATTGCTGGTTGTAGGCCATATTTTGTGCAATTTGTCCGGTACTAAATACCAGCGGTATAGGATTTTGCGCTGTAGTTCCAGGTGTGTGGCAGATGCTGTAAGCCCCTTGTGGGCCGTGTATGCTCTCTCCCAGTCCCTGTCTGTTATTATTCTATCAATATCCCGTTGCCATGACATTTTTATCTCTCCTGGTGTATGTGATTGTTGCGCTATTAATTTCTGGTATCCCCAGGACATTATTTTCTTGAGTGGTGTTATTCCCGTGTTTGGTTTTCAAATTCTGTCATGTGTGTCTTTGCGGTGGCATCCGTTTGTTTCATTAATTTGTCTAACACATAAGATTTGAGCTGGAGGAAGGAGAATATTGCTTTAGTGGGAAGGTTGTACTTGTCCTGTATGTCGGGGAACGGTAGTATTCGACCCCTGTCTATCACTTGGTACATGTGGTGTACACCTCCCTTCACCCATATTTCCCAAGGGAAGGTAGGGATCTCCAGTCCAAAAGTGCGCATTGGCATGGCTAGGGGTAACATATGTTTTGACACTAATTCACGTTTCATCGTGTTCCATACTCACAGTAGGGTTTGGGTAGTTGGCAGGAGAGCGTCTAGTTCCCGGTTGTTTTTTGTCTGTTTCCACATGAGTGACCAGAGATCACCATGTGGTGCTTTGCTGGCTTCAATCGTCACTCATTGTGGGACGTCAGTAAGCCTGTTGAATTGTGTGATGTTATGTAGGTATGCTGCCCTGTGGTATGCTGATAGGTTGGGTAAGCCTAGTCCTCCTGTTTTGACTGATCGATGTAATGTCCCTGCTGCTACTCTTGCCTTTTTCCCCTCCCATATGAATGAGTTAATGGTATGTTGCATGTTTTTTAGGAATTGTTTTGGTATTGGTATTTGGAGCGTACGGAAAAGATACTGTATCTTAGGGGTGAGTGTCATTTTGACTGCCGCTATGCGACCTAGCCATGACAGGTATCTACCCCTCCATGTGTGC